AGTTATATAATAATAAAGGGGAAAGGTGAACAAACCATACCTCCATGCCTGATTAGTGGTAAGATTAAAGTCTTAATCAGCTTAAGTAGACAACACATGCCTCTAAAAGTTGAAAGTCTAAAACTTGTTTTTGAAAAATTTATGAACTTTCAAAGAGGAAAAAGTAACAAGGCAGAGCTAGCCCTTTCAGAATTAAAGATATGATATGCCAGGGCTGGAGAGATGGCTCAGGGGTTAAGAGTACTGGCACCTCTTCCAGATGACCCAGGTTCAATTCCCAGTAACCACACGGCTCACAACCATCTGTAACTCCAGTCCCAGGGCATCTGACTCCTGTCAGACAGTCACATGGTGACAAACTCATGCAGGCAAAGCACATACACACATGAAATAAAAAAATTTAAAAATATTATCCCAATATTCAAAATAAGTGGGACTTACTCAAAACAAGAAAAAATCCTCACAGTATAAAAGACAGTGGGAAGTGCTCTGCTTGGAGGAGAAGCCACAGCGGAAGCTGCCTGACTGACACGGTGAGCACAGGGCTCCAACACAGAAGAAATTACTCTAGGGCTGGGTAGCTCAGAGACACAGTGTGTACACAGCATGCTTAAGGCCAGAAGTTCAATCCCCAACATCAAAACAGCAAAATAAAATTAAAAAAAAAATAGCAAGAATAAACCACGAGGTAGAACTTAACCTTGACAGCATAAAACCAAAACAGTATTTACAACTTTGTGAGAGCTTTATCAGCCTTGAACACATCAGCAATCCTCTCTTAAAAGGAAACTGATCTCATTTTTAAAAATTCACATCCATTGACCCAAGAATTACACTAAAGAAAAACCCCTGTGTATATAGGATCAGCTACTCATGGCCCCGCGGGATAGCCAGAGCCCAGGAATTCAAGGCCAGTGTACTCAACACAGCTAGAACTGCTTCTTAAAAAAATGTTTTCAGGTTTCCCCAGAACAAAGCTGTCTGCAAAGAGGGACACGTGCCAGTGGAGGTGGTGCAGACTGTAGTCGCAGCCCTTTCAACCCTTTCACAGAGGCAGAAGGAGTTCAAGGCCAGCCTGGTGAACACAGTCTTTCAAGCTAGCTACTCTTGTCTCCAAAACAAAACAAAACAAAACAAAAGATAGAGGACTACATCAGAGTTAAGGAAGATGATGGATGGCTATTAACTACACTAGAATTTATTATTTTAATTTGAGTTTTTGAGATAGGGTCTCATAGTCCCAGCTTCCCTTGAGTTCAGTTTATGCGGGGATAGGGATTGAACCCAGAGCTCAGGCAAGCTAGGCAAGCACTCTACCAACTACAGATAAGCTCCATTCCATTATGAAAACCACTTTTCAGAAGGAAACAATGGGGCTGGAAAGAGGGAATGGCTCAGTAGTTAGGAGTTCTGGGGTTTCCCCTAATGTCTTTTACACTCATAAATACAATCCACAGCCAACAGGAGACTGTTAAATCAATCCTGCTGTCTGTGAAAACTCCAATAGGAGGCACAGCTAGCTACTTTTTCAGAGGACCAGAGCTCAGTTCCCAGCATCCGCAGCAAGCTCACAATCACCAATAACTAACTCTGGATCCAGAAGACCTGACACTTTTTTCTGGCCTGCTTGGGAACTCCCACACATGTGTGCATACAGAAAAATGCACATGCCATTAATAAAAATAATCCTCTAAAAAGTAAACAAAAAGACCACACAGATAAATGGAAACATGGATTAAAAAAATAATGAAACAAAAACAAATATCTATGCCTCATCATTACATTATTCATACAGATAAAAACTATGTGCTAGGTGCCATGCCTTATACTCTGTATAAATTTTATCTGGCTTATTCCTTATAACACCATGCAAGATACACACTCTGGCCCTAATTTTACAAATGAGGAAACAAAGCCCCAGCAAGTAAGTCACTGAGTGTTAAACATATACTATGTACAGGGAGCCTCGGTCCCACCAAGCCTGTATAACCACTGAGCACGGAAATCACATTAAAGGGAGCTGTAACAGATGAAAATTTTTGGTGAAGTTTTCAACAACAACAAAAAAAATCAGACAGTAAATCCCTGTGCACACAGTCAATGATGTGCTATGCCATCAGTCTACTTCTCAGCCCCAGCACTTTCAAAACTTAGAAACATGGCATTCATAGAGACAGTCTTCCAGTTACTTTCATTTTACAAAAATGGGTATTGCACATTTGTGATGATGTGAAAAAGACAGCTGAGACTGGGCTCTGGTTTTGCCCTTAATGTCTTTTATAAGCATAAATACGGTACACAGGCAATAGGGAGCTGTTAAATTAATCTTGCATGCCCGTGAAAATGACAGCAGGAGACACAACTCCTATAGTGCCATCCTGGAAGTGGTCCTCACAGACCTAACATGGAGGGATGGAGACATCCTCATACACATCCTACACTGCCAAGAGGTGTGTGGCGGGGGCTCTGTCTGCCCACCCTAGTAACAGTTCTAGCTCTCTCTTTTCTTATAGTCCAGGCTGCCTGTGAGGTCAAGAAGAAATGTCATCATTGCAAAAAGGCAGAGGCAGAGGCCAAGGCCTTTGTGTTTTAGTAGGCAGGAGCTGCCCTTTGAAGCTGGGTTTTAGGAATGGTTTGGGCATTCAGATGCACTACTACCATAAAACATGCCCAAGGTTGTCTAGACTTAGACACATGTGGCTTTTAAAAGACATGGCTGGAACCTACCTCACAAACTAGAATACAATGTTCTAGAGATAAAAACCAGAAGCAAAGGTACCTAAAACTAAATATAAAGCAAATAAAAACCTACTGATATCCCAGAAGAGCTGAAGTTAAATGCTCATATTGCTCTTGCAGAGGACCTGGGTTCAATTCCCAGCAGTTATACCAGGAAGTTTACAATCACCTGTAACTCCACCTCCGGGGGGAATCTGATGCCTCTGATCTCTGAGGGCGCCTGCACTCATGAATATACCCACACAAGGACAGAAGGATAAAGTGACTGGTGCCCGGTCACTGCACCAGGAGACTGCCTCATGTGTCACCTGGATAGTGTATAAAAGGATTTTAGGGTGACATGGCTTGTGCCCAGCAGGGCTACTGCAAGCTTCTCTACGAACAAATGTTTGCTAAGAAGAGCATGTTTGCGGCTGCTCAGAGAGCTGCACGCGGCTCTATGGAACAGTCCATAGTCACTTGCTAGCCATCCCTTCATGCAGATGGGAAGGATGTGGTAGCTAGACCTGAAGCACTGGGTAGGTTGAGACAGCATCTGCTGGGACTTCACACCTGCAGTGACCTCATCCAAGAGGTTACAGGAAGCTGCTTAACTCATTTCTTTCAGGCATGTCCCCAAATCCAGGAAGTCAAGTCATGTCCCAGGCTTGTCACTTTACCCTACCATTCCTGTACACAGTGAGATAACCAGGCAACATTCGCCACAGAGGGGCCCTGAAGCCCCACATGCTGCTTCCAGAGAACTGAAATCCATGACAGAGCACTTAACTAGAGTGCTACTCAGTGTCACACACAGGCCAATAATACTGTCACAACAACAAACATGCTACTGTGTCTTTACGTCACACCTCTGCATTCCCAAACAGCATCTATAAAGGTCATTTCTGTGTCACTCTCGATTGGAATTACTCACTCCTATCTACAGTCTATGGAAGCAAACGTCCACATCCCCTCTACTGGCTCCAAACAAAAACAGACAAACAAATGACCTGTTGTCACTAAAGATTTAACAGTCCTCAGGAACTCCAGAAAATGAATGTCTGCCTGACACTGTCTCAATGAGACAGAAATAGGATGAAAATGATTCATTTACTTTGTAGCAGGCTTTTCCTTCCTGAGCACAGGGAAACAGTCAAATGCAGAAAAGTTCCTGGGTGTGGAAGGACCAAGTGTCTCTTCTCTTACGGTGTTGATGCTGGAATGGTGACAGCAGTACCTAGTGGGGACTTAACACTTGTCAGCATCTCGACCCCTGGGAATGCTGTCATCTTCTCCCCCTCAGCTCTTAGGGCAAACTCAGTCTTGTCTTTTTTCCTAGTTGATAAACTCCCTAAATAGGAAATTTCTTTTCTTCAGATATGTCAGGGATAAATAAGATACCTAAGGCTGAGGGTAGTAGCCCTCCCCTTTGATGCTAGCACTTGGGGGAGTAGTAGGCATATCTCTATGAGTCTGAGGCTAGTTTGGTCTACACCAGGAGTTTCAGGACAGCCAGTGATACAAAATGAGACCCTGTCTCAAAAAACAACACAGCAGGACATGGTTCAGTGGTTAAGTGTTCTTAGAGAAGATTGGGGTTCAGATCTCAGCACCCACAGTGAGTGTCTCATAACTGCTGTAACTCTAGTTTGAGGGAATATGTCACCCCCTTCAGGACTCCAAGAGCACCTGTATGCACGTGGTGCACATAGGAACCCCCAGTCATAGATACACATAAAAACTAAACTAAATAAATCTATTTTAAATTCACATAAAACCCAATGTTGATAAGAAAGTAATAAAAAGCATACTTTTAAAAATATTCTCCACAAAGAATATGTTGTTTTTCATTTTTATTTTCTGAGACAGAATCTCATGTATCCCAGGCTGGCCTTGAACTTGTCATGTAGCCAAAGATAACTTTTAACTTCTGATCCTCCTACCTCTCTCTACCTCTCAAGGACTGGAATCCTAAACATGCATACTTAAGCCAGTTTTATAAGGTGCTGAAGACTGAACCCAGGTCTGCCTCATGCACGCTAGATAGATATTCTACCAAATGAGCTATATCCCCAGGCCCAAAGGAGTACTTTGGACATGCATGGGAACAGGGAGAATCATCCTGGCTGTCCAGAAGCCAGAGGTCAAAGCAGATGGGTCAATGGGATAAGTAATGGGCTCAATTCACACACTTCACTATATTCTGGCACAGCCCTGAGTGTACACAGGACAGGCAAGGACCTCCTTCTTAGTCCAGGCTAATGTTGGGTGTCATCACTCACCTGTGCCATTGGCTAAGCCACTGTTGCTGGGGTTCTTCACGGGTTGGCGGTGCCGGTTTCTAGCACCAGGGCTTTGGTCACTTGTTGCTGTTCTGGCTGAGCCACCTGAATGTCTGTGCGTTCTGGGGGTTGAGAGCAGAAAGCAGACCGACATAAGTCACTGTGAGAAAGGGAGCCGCTTCCCCGCTCCCGCTCCCGCTCCCGCTATTTGTTAGCAACAAGCCCTGTAGTCACTTCAGCTTTGCACTCAACAGCAGCTGGCGCCCAGCGGAGACCCAGGGAAGCTTCCTTCTTGGTAAAAGCCCAAAGGCAGCTTTGTGCAAACTTTTCCACTTGAAGTAAACAAATCTGGAGCAAATCACCCCACATCTGAAATAACTGGCAAAATACCCTGGGACCATCACATTATTTTTATTGGGCTTAAATGTTAGAAATAAACAAGAATCTCTGGACAGACAGAAGATGATCTATTTCTCCCATTAGGTAAAAGGAGCCCCCAAACTTATGCAAATCAATTTTCTCTATAGCTGGAAAGATAATTAAGCAGCATGAGCCAGTGCATATGATAGGACACCACACTAGAGATAAGGGCTCATCAGCTCTTCAAGCAAGTGAAAACCAACACAGAAATGTGACGTGGGATTCTTCTCTGTGTACTGCGAATATGCTTTATTCCCATTGGTTAATAAAAAAGTTGCTTTGGCCTAAGACAGGGCAGAATAAAGCCAGGTGGAAAATCCAAACAGAGATATATAGAGAGTAGGCAGAGTCAGGGAGATGCCATGTAGCTGCCCAAAAAAGAAAGACTCTAGAAACTTACTGGTAGGCCACAGCCTTGTGGTGGTATACAGATTACTAGGATGGGTTAATTTAAGATATAAGAGCTAGCTAGAAAGACACCTAAGTTGTTGGCCAAACAGTGTTGTAATTAATATAGTTTCTGTGTAATTATTCAGGTCTGGGCAGCCAGGAAATGAGTGAGATGTCTCCATTTACAAAAACGAAGAGATATAGCTGAAGAAGCAGTCTGACATTTTCTCAGAGCACAAAGCAGTGATGAAAAATGTGTTTTCAAGTTTCTTTTGTAGTGTTCCTCCACTCGACTCGGTGAAAACACCTAAGCCTCCCTGCCTTTGACTTGGCTCTTTCACCAGCAGACACTGGTATGCCACAGCTCACTATTTAATTTACAATGACTAGATGGCTTAAACATCATCAAAAGACAAGCCTGGTTCTTCCCAGGCCCGGAACCAAAGGCTAAGAGAACAACTTAGACTACAGGGATGGGGCAGAACAACCAGCAACAAGAGAACTGAGTACTGTGACCCAGAGGAACACCACCGGGAGCCGGGCATTATTTTAATGGCCATCGCACTTAGCGTGGCCACTCTGACCGAGAGCGGCTCTGTGACCTCCATTTATAGGTATGTAAATCAACAACAGGAAGTTCTACAGAGTGCATTCTCACACAGCCTCCTCCTCCTTGGCTGGAGGACATGGTGGAATGGATGGACCATTGCTGACTTTCTCTGGAGCTACTTTCCCCCAGTTACTGGGAAAGTGGCAAGACTTGATCTCTAACGGAGTTCCTTGTTGGGAGGAACCCACCAGAGTCCCCTTGCTACTGAGAGCATCTCTCCAGCAGGTGGGACAGGCCTGCAGCACAACGAACAGTTGGTTTTGTGGGGTCAGAAACCATCCTACCACCTTCTTTCTCAGTAACAGATTCTTTAAAAACAAAAACACGGTTTCTCTGTATAGCCCTGGCTGTCCTAGAGCTTGCTCTGTTCTGGCCTTGAACTCAGAGATTCACCTGCTTCTGCTGCCTGAGTGCTAGGATGTTTACCATGTGCCACCATGCCCAGCTTTCAGTAACAGATTCTGTGACAAGATGGACATAAGCCATAACACTAATGGTGATTATCTTGGGAGCTGGGAATAAGGATACTTTGTTTTTATTGTTTGTGTTCTTAGATTTTTCTAGTTTTCTTCTCTGCACTTGTACACTTCTGGTAGGAAAAAGAACCCATGAAAGTTTTTAGAAGAGAAGCAGCAGTTGTTCTTGGGATAGTGTGTGTGTGTGTGTGTGTGTGTGTGTGTGTGTGTGTGAACTAGGCATGGTAGCATACGTCAGTGAAGCCAGTACTTGGGAAGCTGAGTCAGGAGGATTGCTGAGGTTTTGAAGACAGCCTTGGTTAGACAGCAGGTACAACATCAAGGACTATATAATGAGATTTTATCTTTAAAAAAAAAAAAAACTAGTAACGGTAACACACACTTTTGAGCCCAGCACTCAAGAGACAGAGGCAGGCAGATTTCTATGAATTCAAAGCCAGCCTGATCTACAAAGTGAGTTTCAGGCAAGCCAAGACTACCAAGCAAGACCTTGCCTCAAAAATAAAACAAAACAAACAAAATACAGTGAAAGTGAGGGAGAATGAGAGAGACCCCAGCTCTAGCAGCCTCTGGGTCCACACTACCTACAGATGGTGCAGCTGTTGAAAGCTGAGGGAGGGTTCGGTTTAGCTTTCCCATGCCATCTTATTTTTCCTTGCACTAATTTCATAAACCAAAGTTGTCAACCATACCTCAGTCAAAGAAAAGGATTCCAAAACCCCTACTTTGTGGGAAGAAATACTACTCTGAAACCTTCACCACAGCCCCTCATCAAAAGCAGAAAGCAGACCCCAGCTCCAGAGGGAAAGGCAGCGTTCAGCTACTGCCCAGCACAGCTCGGGGTGATCAGCTACTGCCCAGCACAGCCCAGTGTATGCATGTGTTGAGGGCAGAGAGCTTGAGCGGTGAAACTGGTTAATAAAGGTTTATTCCAACCAAAAATCTCCTTATAAGGACAAAAACAGGCCTCCTAGGTTTGGAACCTACAGCTTTCGGGGTAGGGCCTCTGTCCCTCAGGGAGCAGAAGCAGAAACACAGGCTTTGACAAATCCTGTCTTCCAACTTCCTCCTTGTCACTCTGTAGAGTAGCTGGACGTGGACAACAGGGTGGGGCTCACTGTTCTCCTGGCTCCTCCCCACCTCTCTTCCACGAAAGGCCATGTGGTCAGAGTTGAGAAGAAATACTTTCAGAAATGTTTGACCACTAATGATAGCAGCTTACCCTGAATGACAGGCTGGAGCAGGGCCTGGATTAGCCCATAAACCAGGGGCAGCTGGGAGCACTTTGCATGAATTGCTGCCTCCCTGCCAGGGGTGGGGGGATGGAGAGATGCCACCACCTCCCCCAGACATGAAACACACAGGCACTTGGGTGCTCTCTCTACCTCTTCTCTCTCTTTTTCCCTCCACCTTCCTCTCCCTTTTCTTACTCTTGTATTAACTTTAAAGTAAGACCTTCTCAAAGAAGACAAGGCCTCATTAATTGAGGGGAATCTCTTCAGCAGTTTCCTCTCCTGGCTTGCTCACTCAACCCTTAAAAGATGCGACTGTGTAGTGATTACAAACTGGCCCATTCGCTGAAACCACAGGCCAAAATAGCGCTAGGACAAACTCAAGGCAATGGGAGGAGATGAGCTGTCCTCTGCCACAGACAGCCTGGCTTCAGTCTGCCAATGACTTCAGCCTTGGGTCCATCCCCCTCCGCACTGTGGGGACAAGGAGGTTCTGTGAAGCCCTTCAGGCAGTGAGGAGAGGGCTGAACCACCAGGCCAGTTAGGCCAACTCCATAATGGTTTCAAGTTGCCTAGTTACGAAACTTAGCGCTGTTAGTCCTTCCTTGGACATTGGTAATGTCCTTACCTCAGTTCCTCCCTCAGAAACTGAAACCACCAAAGAACGCCAGTCAAGCCCAAGTTTAGGATTCTCTCCACACTCCTTGAAGTGGTTCTGAAGCAGAAGAGGTCTCAGGCAACAGCTCTTGGCTCTTCATCTCAATCCTGAAACTTTGTCTGCACCCTGACTACAACATCTTGGGTGCCTCACCCTTCATGTTGCTCACTGAACTGTATTCAACCATTACTTCTGATGGCCAGTCCCTGTTCTGGAACAAAATAGTCCCTGATCCCCAAGGAGCTGACACCATGGCAAAATACAGTGACCTATAGTCACTTGCTCCAACACATGTGCATATCCATAATGCTATTGTGACAAACTGCTCTTCCAAAGACATTGTCAAAAATGAAAAGCTACTGGAGAGGTGGCTTGGTAATTAAGAGCACCAGCGGCTCCTCCAGAGGCCCCAGGTTTGATTCCCCAATACTGACATGGTGGTTCACAACTGACTATGGCTCTAGTCCCTGGGGACCTGACAGCCTCTTCTGGCCTCCTTCGCTGGGCACCAGGCACACATATAGTACACAGACAGACATGCAGGCACTCGTACATACACATTAAATAAATAACTATTAACCAGATAAGAAATTCTTTGAAAAGAATGAAAAGATGGGCTGGCAAGCTAGCTCAGCAGATAAAGCACTTACTCTGCAAGCCTGCTAACCTGAGCCGACTCCCCAGAACCCATGCAAAAGTGAAAGAGAGAACCAAGTTATCGTCTGACCTCCACACTCGAGACCCCAGCACACACATGCATACAGGCACATGCACACACACAAACATACAATAAATATTTTTTAAAGGAATTGTACTGGAGAGATAGCTCAGCAGTTAACAGCACTTGCTGCTCTTCCAGAGGAGCCGAGTTCAGTTCCTAGTACTATCTATCAGTCTGCTCACAAATGTCTCTAACTCCAGCTCCAGGAGCTCTGATGCCTCTGGCCTCCACCAGCACCTGCACTCATTATATACACAACCACATGTAAAATACACACCTCACATAATTGAAAAATAAGTCTCAAACATTAAATTAAGCTAGGCAGTGGTGGCACACACCTTAGTCCCAGCACTTGGGAGGGAGAGGCAGGCAGACCTCTGTGAGTTTGAGGCCAGTCTAGACTACAAAGCAACTTCTAGGACAGTCAGGGCTATCCAGAGAAACCCTGTCTCAATAACAAAACAAAACTAAAAAACCAACAAAAACCACCCACTAAATTAGAAAAGATAGTCCACAGACTGCAAATACAGAACTACAAAAGGGTTTCTCTATAGAACACATAAAGTCTCAAACTCAACAATAAGATAACCCAATATTTTAAAACAAAAAAGGTGT